GGGTGTGTGTGTAGGAGGTAGACCCTGCAATCTCTCAAATAAGTAAATCTTGTTTTAGTAACAAGAACTGTGCATAAATGCTGCATAAAAAGCATGGTGGGAAGGGATGAGATTCAGGAGATTTTCCTGTCACTGCTGAGTCCAAATCTACTTCCTTGCAGAGGTGAAATTTATAAGAGGTTCACCAGTTTTATCTCTGTGATGGAAGAGGTTTATCCTGGCTTAGTCTCAGTGGTGGAGGTAAATATAGTCTTTGTGGTTTATGTCCAGTTAATAAGCCCTGTCCCTCATACACTGCCAGGAACTAAGGATGAAGCTGAGAAGTTGGTTCTTTCACATCTACAGATAGTCTGGAGAAAGATCTTGGTGTTAGTTGATATTGACAACAAATTAGATTCTGTGGAGACAGGAACGACTACTCTTTCAGCTGTCCTTCCCTGTCTTTGCAGTTTTGCACACAGTTTTCTAAAGCTTCAGCAGACAGATTTATCCTGTTACCACTTTTCCTTTCTCGTGTTACTATTGTGTGCAACTGGGAGCAGGAGAAAGTGCTCTGAATCCCTAAAGAAATAAGATAAATGAAAGTTTAAAGTGAGAAATACTTCAGGCAACAGACTACTTTAACGCTTGCTAAGAAGCACATGAATTTTTACTCTGTAAAGTATCATAATCTCATGTGGAAACATTGGAGCCAGATTAGTGAATGAAACTAGCACTGTTCTTTTAGCAGAGCCTCAACAGGACAGTGTAGAAACAATCCCCTTCAGTGGCGGTTGAGATATTCTGAGAGGCAGGAAGTAAGAACAGGACACAATAAACTATGAAACCTATAAATACATAACTACACCAGAGAGGGCCATACAGAATACATTATTGCTCTTGCAGCTGCTTGAGGTAGTGCTTTATAAACATATATTTGGAGAAATGAATTTAATGTCTTTCAAATTATCTTTTGTGCCAAAGGGTTAAAAGTAAAGTATTATTATGCTTGGTGTCTACTGAATAAAAATAACCTTATTTGTAATTTCAGGTTGATACTCATATCCATGCTGCTGCCTGCATGAGTCAGAAACATTTGCTGAGGTTCATTAAACACACTTACCAAACTGAGTCCAACAGGATAGTAGGCGAGAGAAAAGGCAAGAAGATGACTTTGAAACAGGTGTTTGAAAGTCTCCACATGGATCCCTATGACCTCACTGTAGATTCATTAGATGTTCATGCAGTAAGTAATCAGTAGATCAAACTGGAAACAAAGATTGGGATTTTGAAAATGATCAATGGATGGAGAGATATTTTTTACTGAATGTGCATGTGGGATGAAAAAAAGTTATTTGTTGCTTTTGTGAATTATGTTACCATGTTCTGAACCAAAACTTTTTTTAATACATTGTTTTTGTGTGCCTTCAACTCATTTCCAACTTTTGGTGACCCTAAGGTGAACCTATTATCAGATTTCCTTGGCAAGATTTGTGGGGTGGGGTTGCCTTTGCCTTCCTCTGAGGCTGAGAGAGTGTGACATGCTCATTGTCCATGGCCAAGCAAGGATTTAAATCCTGATCTCCTGAATCATAATCCAGTGTTCAAATCACTACACCATTCTGGCTCTCAGAAACAACAAAACATATAACAAAACATAATTTTATAATTTAACAGTGTTCAGTTTCTATTACTGGAAAAATATTTTTCCTTGCTTTTTAGGATCGTCAGACATTTCATCGATTTGATAAATTTAACTCCAAATACAATCCAGTTGGTGCAAGCGAGCTGAGAGACTTGTATTTGAAAACAGAGAACTATCTTGGTGGTGAATATTTTGCCCGTATGGTGAAGGTAAGTTTGCTCTTTTTATCAGTCAGTGCTTTAGTGTTGCTTGAAAGAAGTTAATAATAATAATAATAATAATAGTATTGTATGAAATTGCCATTGATACTGGCAATACATGCAAAAGAGCCATGGTAACACTGCATCCTCCAAGCATGCCAACTTCTGTATGGAGTATAAAGTATTGTGCATGGAAGACACCATGTGCATAGCTTAGATATACTCTGATATGGCTGCATTAGGCTATGCTCTTTCAGGTCATGTTCTATTTGGTCTCTGCAATGAAATGCTTTGTGACATGCAGCATTTTTCTCAGACGTATTAGATCCTACATTTTGAGTCTGTGATCCATTGTCATATTCCTTAGACAAATAGGTAGCTGCCTTACATAGAATCAGAACATTGGTCCATCTAGTTGAGTATTGTTAACCTTGACTGACGGTGGCTTTTCAGGGTTTGAGGCAAGAGTATTTCTCATCCCTGCCTGGAGTTGTCATTGATTAAACCTGGATTCTTTTTCATGCAAAATATGTTCCCTCCCACAGAGCTATAGCTTTTCCCATGCATCACCACAAAAGATAGCTGGATGGAACAGTGTTCATTCTACATGCATGTAGTCTAAACCTTGTCAGCTAGTTCAAGTTGGGGTTGCCATTTGCCCCAGAAAACCTAGAAAATCCTGGATTGAAGGGATTAAAACATGTCCTGGCCGGCTAGGCCAGTTGAATCAGTAAACTGTAGATTTCTCCTTCATCACAGGCTGATGGGTAGATTAAAATGTGGCAGTGACAATGGAGCAGGAAACCATGCAAGAAGACTGGAAATGGCAGGAGTCTCATCAAGCTCTGATAGCTACTGCACAGGCTTAGCATTGCCTCCTTATTCTTCCATTCCCGCCCCACTTCCCCTGACAGATCCAGAAGGTGGGAAAGGAAAGGAGACAAGTAGAGATGTCAGTGGCTTGAGCTATGGCTAGGCAGCATGGTGGAACGGCTTCCAAACAGTCTTGAGAGACTCTGGGGCTGCTTGGAAGCCTCCCTCTTCACACTAGATAGGGGGAAACAGAAGAAAAAAAGAGCTCTTGGCTTGGTACTGGTACTGAGGTTGAAACATAATGGCAGAAAAAGTACAATGATTAATGTGTTTAATCTGCATAATCAGAAAGCAAAATAATAATATGCATAATTGTGATAATTTGCATTATATGCAAATTAGATGCCTGGATATGGAGGACTGGACTATGACAACTCTAGTTCAAGTCAGTATAAAAAATTGCCTTAGTTCCTTGAATCCTCTGTATTTTCTTGAAGACTTCTTACCATTTCTGTTTTCTAAGTCTGTTTTGCATGCTTTCTTCAGCTACTTTCTCTCTGGAATGCTTTAACTTCCCTTGCAGTCCCTTACAATCTTCAGCCTGTCTAGTAACAGCTAGATACTTTCTTCTTCATCATTTGTTTCTTGTTGGCTTGATATCTAGGAGTTGTAATGTTTCCAAGTTTTGGTAATTCATAATGTTTTATGGTGGAGAAAAAAGTAACTTGCAAAACTATTTCTAGCTTTCATGTTTTCTGGCATGAAAAAAATAAAAGTTGCAAAGTTCTACAAGAAGTGCATACATGTAGATGATAGGATCAGAATACTTGGCTAACCTTGAATTACATAAATCTCTCTCTCTCTCTCTCTGTATATATGTATAGATATATATATATGTATACATGTTGTGTGTATGTGTCTCTGTGTGTCTCTGTGTAGGAAATTTAAATATTCTGGATGTAAATGCTGTTTCCTCAGGCTGTTATGATTAAGCTGGAACAAAGGAATATAAATTGTGGGTTAAAACTGCACAGTC